CCCCGGCACCCTGACAGCCACTGGGGCGACGACGGGGCTGGGGCTTCTTCAAGGCCCCACTCTCAGAGAATTCCTATTTTACTGGTCTGACAGCTCCCTAGGAGATTCCACTGACAAAGCTGTCTTTGCTTGATTTGACCCAAAACTCTCCCAGTATAAAAAGCCTTTTCCCTGGGGGATGTTTGTTGGTAACACCAAAAGAGGATTTTAAAACTTTGTGCTGTCTAAGGCACAGGATAACAGTTAAGCAAAAAACAAGCTAACCAGAAAACTTAAAAGAAAGAGCTGGGCAGGGGCGCCTGGGTGGCTCAGTCGTTAAGCGTCTGCCTTCGGCTCAGGTCATGATGCCAGGGTCCTGGGATCGAGCCCCGCATCGGGCTCCCTGCTCAGCAGGAAGCCTGCTTCTCCCTCTCCCACTCCCCCTGCTTGTGTTCCCTCTCTCGCTGTGTCTCTGTCAAATAAATAAATAAAATCTTAAAAAAGGAAAAAAAAAATAAAATAAAAAGAAAGAGCTGGGGAATGAGATTTCGAGAGGTGTTTTGAAAAGCTCCAAAATATTCCTGGGAACCCAGAAGTCACATGCATGTGCAGGGCTCTGTGGAGAATCAGGATAAGACCTGAAAAGGCCCTAAGCTTGCACCTCTGGCTGACTTCAAGGCTCCGCATCAGCACCAAACAGAAGATGAAATAGAGGCACCAACTGCCCGGCTGAGCACTGAAGGCATACCCCGGTACATACACAGAGTCCCTGGCAAAAAATGGCGCAGTTATGGGTTCCAGGCATTAAAGGAAATTTCTGTCCCCTTCACTACCTGATTACGATGCTAACCAAGGAAAGACTTTGGTGGTCACAAACAACAAAGACCATAAATTGTCCAGAATTAGTTCAGTAAAGTCGTGAGACAAATAAATACCAACAACTATAAGAAAGAGCAATTGCCCTGGGGAGGAGGGAGCTGATGTTCAGAACCTAACATATACCACACTATATTAACTGAAAATCCAATTTTCAATAAAAAAGAGACATGCAAAGAAACAAGGCCTGGCCTATATACTGGAAAAAAAGCAATCAGTTGAAACCATCCCTAAGGAAGCTCAGAAGTTGGGTTTATTATACAAAGACTTTAAATCAGCTGTTTCAAACATGTTCAAAGACCAAAATGAAACTGCATCTAAAGAAATATAGGAAAGCATGAACATATCTCATAAAACAATGAATATCAATAGAGATAAAAATCATAAAAGTGAACCAAATCAGAATTCTGGAGTTAGGGAGTATAATAACTCAGACATAAAACTCACTAGAGGGGCTTGAGAGCAGACCTGAGCACGGACAAGAAGGAATCAGCAAATATGAGGATAGGTCAATTGAGATTATCCAGTCTGAGGAACAGAAGGAGAAACAGTGAAGAAAAATGGACAGAGTCTCAGAGACTATGGGTTACTACCAAACACTGGCTTATGCATAATGGGAGTCCCAGCAGGAGAGGGGAGAACAGAAGGAATAATGGCTAAAAACTCCCCAAATTTGATGAAAAACGTCCAGGAAGCTAAACAAACTCCAAGCAGGATAAACTCAAAGAGAGTCACATCTAGATACTTCATAATCAAACTGCAGGATGAAAAGACCCAGCGAGAATTTCGAAAGCAACAAGGGAGAACAGACTCATCATGTACAAGGGAGCCTTAATAAGATTAATAGCTGATTTCTCATCAGAAACCATGGAGGCCAGAAGGCAGTGGGATGACACTGGAAGGGGCTGAAAGAAAAAAACTGTCAACCAAGAATTCTATATCCAGCAAAACCACCCTTTGAAAATGAAGGAGCAATTTCCCCTTCTGGGATGTCAAGTGTGAGGAGATCTACTGAACCACTCCCAAGTGAAACAAACAAAGCTTATTTAAATCATTTAAAGTCTCTGGAAATTATCCTAAAAGCATACAACAAATGAGAACATTTATTTAAGAAAACCTACTGGGGCACCTGGGTAGCTCAGTCATTAAGCGTCTGCTTTCAGCTCAGGTCCTGGGATCGAGCCCCACATTGGGCTCCCTGCTCAGCAGGAAGCCTGCTTCTCCCTCTCCCACCCCCCTGCTTGTGTTCCCTCTCTCGTTGTGTCTCTCTCTGTCAAATAAGTAAATAAAATCTAAAAAAAAAAGAAAAAGAAAAAGAAAACCTACTAAAACTATGTAGGAATAGTGAGCCTGCAGCATCTGAGCCGCAAGCAGCTCCCTCCCCACTCCAGTTCACTTTGATTGATGCTACACTCTGGGAGGGCATGGCCAGGAAGATGGGGGTCCCTTTCCCCTCTGTTTCCAATCAAGGCTTATGGTATCTCACTGAGAGGGGAAGGCCACCCAGCACTTCTCATCCTGTCTAGGTCAACAGGCTAAATTCCTGGTGATTGCAATCAAGAGGTTGGTTGGTGGGGGGGGGGGGGCTTTGCCCCCATCCATATAATGCAGGCTGTACCCCAGGCATGGCGGGCTGAGCGTATTGAGCCCCTGACTGCCCTCCCTCCAGCTAGCATGTAGGGTATAGCATCCATGCTGAGAGAGTCAAGCTGGGAAGACAGGAGGCCACTACTCTTCCCAGTGCCTGGAGTAGTGGCTCAGAGAGTTCCCCAGGAGAGAGGCAATCCAAAGGAAAGAGAGCTCTGAAGGTCTCCCCAAGCAAACTCACTTTATGTGAAACAAAGTGTAGAAAAGTTCAAGCTTAAGGCTGCTCTTGAGAACAGTAGCACCTCTATATGAAGAATAACAAGCTCGAGGGGCGCCTGGGTGACGCAGTCGGTTACGTGTCTGCCTTTGGCTCAGGTCACGATCTCAGGATCCGGGGGTTGAGTCCTGCATCAGGTTCCCTGCTCGGTGGGAAGTCTGTTTCTCCCTCTGCCTGTGCTCCACCCCCAACCCCCACTCATGCTCTCTTTCAAAAAAAAAAAAAAAAAAAAATCTTAAAAAAAAAAGTGACAAGCTCAAGGGGCACCTGGATGACTCAGTTGGTTGAGCATCCGTCTGACTCTTGATTTTGGCTCAGATCATGATCATAGGGTCGTGGGATCAAGCCCCACATCCAGCTCCATTCTCAGCAGGGAGTCTGCTTGAGATTCTCCTCCCTCTGTCCCTCCCCAGCTTGCACGCACACGCTCCCTCCCTCTCTCAGATAAATAAATCTTAAAAAAAAAACAAAAAAAACCCCCAACAAAACAAAAAAACCCAGTAACAAGCTCAACCACAGCCAGCTTGTTCACACAGGAAAGAGACAGCTAAGAGCCGTCCCAGGTCAGAACAAACCTCAGACAGACCTTAAAGGCCGCCACTGCTTGAATGTAATTGGACAAGACTGTTCAATAATCTGTGCCCTGGGGCACTGTCAAAACCAACAGAAAAGTCAGGCAGTGATTATAGAGCCTACAGTCTAGGTGTAATACCCTATGAGGCAGTGAACTCACACAGACTGTAAAGAGAGGAAACAGACCTCACTAACATAGCCTACAAGCCAGCAAAAACGAAAAACAAGCACAGGAGTAGCTGGGTGCGGTGGGCATCCAGAAGTACTGCATTGCCTAAAATGTACTTTTTCAACAAAATGAGACGTGTAAAGAAATATCAAACTATGACCCACGCACAAGGGAAAAGAGAAAAACAATCACAGAAACAGCCTGTCACAGACAAGACGTCAGATTTAACCAAGACTTCAAAGAACACGTTGTAAGTATGTTTAGAGAATTAAAGGAAATCAGTCAAAGAAGATGAGGTGACAGTGCCTCACCAAAGGGACAGTAACAGTAAAAAAACCCAGTAATCACAAAGCAGAGTCAGACAAAAACTCCAAAGTTCAACGGTACAATAACCAAAACGAGAAATTTACTAGAAGGGCTCAACAGCAGATGTGAATTGGCAGAAGAAAGAATCAGCAAATTTGACAATGGACTGATAGAGGTTACGAAAGCAGAAGAACAGAGAGAAAGCAGTAAAGAAAACATGAAAGGAGCCTCAAAAACACGTGGGACATCTTTAGCTGCATCAACATATATGTAAATGGAGTACCATAAAGAGAAAGGAATGGAACAAACATTCAAAGAAATAAGGCCTGAAAACTTCCCAAATTTGCTTTTTAAAAAAATCCATAAACATGGTATGCCATTCCATTTACTTAGGTCAACTCTTTCTTTCATGAGTGTTTTTACAATTCTATAGTTTTGACATACAGATCCCTGCATGTTTTACCAGACTTTAAATACTCTTCTCCCCCAACCCCGAACAGCTGTAAATGATGTTTTAAAAAGTATATTTTCCTATCTTTCATCAGAAATGTAATTGATTGGGCACCTGGGTGGCTCAGTCGATTAAGTGTCTGCGTTTGGCTCAGGTCGTGATCCCAGGGTCCTGGGATGGAGCCCCATATCACGCTCCCTGCTCAGTGGAGAGTCTGCTTCTCCCTCTACTCCTCCGCCCCCCGCTTGTGCTCTCTCTCTCTAATAAATGAAATCTTAAAGAAAAAAAAAAGGAAATGCAATTGATTGGGGAACCTGGGTGACTCAGTTGGTTAAGTGACTGGTTTTGGCTCAGGTCATGATCCCAGAGTCCTGGGATCAAGCCCCACATCAGGCTCCCTGCTCAGTGGTGAGTCTGCTTCTCCCTCTCCCTCTGCCCCTCCCCCTGCTCATGCTCTCTCTCTCTCTCTCAATAAAATCTTAAAAAAAAAAAAAGAAATGCAATTTATTTTTGTGTGTTGACCTTGTATCTAGTGACCTTGTAAAACTCGTTTAGTTCTAGGATTATTTTTAAAAATTTTTAAGAGAATATTTTATTTATTTGACACAGAGAGAGAGCATAAGCGGTGGGAGCAGCAGAAGGAGAGGGAGAAGTAGGCTCCCTGCATGTGGGGCTCGATCTCAGGACCCTGGGATCATGACCTGAGCCGAGGGCAGATGCTTAACGACTGAGCCACCCAGGTGCTTTTTTAAAATTTTTTAAAAATTAAAAATTTTTTTTTCTGCAGCCAATTAAGCCGACTGTGCTCTCTGTCCATGGGGGCCCAGTGTGCCATGGCTGCAAACAGTAGCCTCCTTGGTAGTGTATGCAGCCTGTTGATTGTATGGGTTGCCCTAAGGGACCTTGGAGACAGCCCTTTCCAGTGGATATTGAGGTCTGACCTCATGCTATCTCCAATCTAGGCTGCATACAGGTATGCGGGGTGCCTTTGGAAAGCCCCGGGGCACAGTAGCCAGGGTCCACACTGGCCAAGTCATCATGTCCATCCGTACCAAGCTGCAGAGCAAGGAACATGTGATTGAGGCCCCTACGCAGGGCCAAGTTCAAGTTCCCTGGCCGCCAGAAGATCCACATCTCCAAGAAGTGGGGCTTTACTAAGTTTAATGCGGATGAATCTGAAGACATGGTGGCTGAAAAGCGGCTTATCCCAGATGGATGTGGGGTCAAATACATCCCTAATCGTGGCCCCTTGGACAAATGGAGGGCTCTGCACTCATGAGAACCTCAGCACTGCCCCCTCCCTATTCATGCCCACCAATAAAACCTACTTCCTGTCAAAAAAATAAAAAAATAAAAATTAAAAAAATTTTTTGAGAGTATGCATGTGCGAGCGGGGTGGGGGGGGGGCGGGTAGGGACAGAGGGGAGAGGGAGACTCTTAAGCAGTCTCCAAGCCCAGCCTGGAGCCCAACACAGGGCGTAATCTCACAACCCTGAGATCACGAACTGAGACAAAATCAAGAGTTGGATACTTAACAAACTGAGCCATCCAGGCACCCCTAGTTTTGGGAGTATTTTTGTAGATTTCTTGGTACTTTCTATGTAGACAATCATGCTATCTATGAATAAGGCCGGCTTTATTTCTTCCTCTCCAATACACATTCCTTTAATTTCTTTCTCGTCTTCGAGTACTGGACAGGCCTTCTGGTACAGTGTTGACTAGAACGGGGGAAAACAGACACTGTGCCTTGTTCTGATCTTAGGGGAAATCATACAGTCTCTCCTACCACTACGCACGACGTGAGGTGTAGGTTTCCTTGGAGACCCTTCTGTATCAGGCTGAAAAAGTCCCCACTATTCCTAGTTTCCTGAGGATTTTTTTTTTTTTAACATATTTTGTCAAATGCTTTTTCTGCAAATAATATGTTCATGTGGTTTTTCTTCTTTAGGTTGTTAACACAGTGAATTATACTGACTTGATTTTAAAATCTTGAACCACCCTTGCATTTCTGGAATAAGTTCCATATATCGTGACATTACTTTTTTTATATATATTGCTAGATTTGCTCATATTTTATTATGAAAGATACTGGTCTGTTGTTTTCTCGGACTGTTTTTGTTTGACTTGTTTAGTTTTAAGTAATCTCTACACCCAATTGAGGGGTGTACCAGGGCTGTTCTTTGTGACCACTAGCATTCAACAGATGTGATGGTATTTGAGAACGGGTTACAAAAGCTACCTGCGGCTCTTGCTTTCTTGGATCCCTCGCTCTGAGAGAAACAGGCTGACCTGCTGTAGGCAGCCCTAAGGAGAGGCTCACGTGGTGAGGAATGAAAGTCTCTTGCCAAAAGCTACTTGCCACAAAACACTTGAGTGAACTTGGAGGCAGGTCTCTCTCCTTCAGTCGTCTTGAAATGACTGCAACCTCAATGAGAGGGCTTGAATCAGAATCAGTCTGTGACTCTCAGAAACTGTGAGGTTTGTTGTTTTATCAGTTAAGTCTTGAAATATTTGGTTACACAGCAATAAGTAATACAAGCACTAAATATTTTGTGTGTGTTTTAAAGATTTATTTATTTATTTTAGCGGGGGGGGGCAGAGGGAGAGGGAGAGCATCCCAAGCAGACTCCTTGCTAAGCGTAGAGCCCGACCTGGGGCTCAATCTCATGACCTTGAGATCATGACCTGGACTGAGATCAAGAGTCAGATGCTCAACCAACTGAGCCACCCAGGAGCCTCTTTGTGTGTGTTTTTTTTTTTTTTGAAGCTATTGTAAATATTTCCATTTTCAACAGTTCATTCCTAGTGTGTAGAAATAGAATTGGTTTTTGTATACTAACCCTGAATCCTATGGCCTCACTAAACTCATTTATTAGTTCTAGTAACTTTTTTTGGTAGATTCCTTGGGACTAAGTCAGTGACAATGTTTTCTATAAATGCGGACAGTTTGACATCTCACCTTCCAATTTTTCGGTCTTTTATTTACTTATTTGCTCTATCACTTGACCAGGGGATTACACAATTTGTTAAAGAGAAGCGCTAAAAGCAGACATCCTGGCCTTCTTTTCCATTGTTGGGGAGAAGTACCTGCTTTGTCCCCATTAAGTACAATGCCAGTTGTAGGTTTTTGCAGGTGCTTTTTATTGGACTGAGGAATCGCCCTTACTAGTCTGCTGAGCTGTTATCATAAAGTGGATGTTACGTTTGTCAGTGTTTCTCCTTACTCCATTGAGATGGTCATGTGGTTTTTCTTCTATGTCTGCTGACGTGGTGAGTTACACTGAGTTCTGAATGCTGACCAGACTCCCATCAATGGAACTCCCTTCTGGCCTCAAGCCTCAGAGTTGCTGAGGAGAAGTCAGCATTGTTCTATGTCCCTCCGTGCAATTCCCTTTCTTTTTTGGGCTGCTTTTAAGATTTTCTCTTCATCACCTGTTTTTAGCAACCTGATGGTGATATGCCCTGGTATGCTTTTTGTGCTTATCCTCCTTGGAAAGTCTTTTTTTTTTTTTTTCTGAAGATTTTATTTATTCATTTGACAGAGACAGATACAGCGAGAGAGGGAACACAAGCACGGGGAGTGGGAGAGGGAGAAGCAGGCTTCCCGCTGGATGCGGGGCTCGATCCCAGGACCCTGGGACCATGACCTGAGCCGAAGGCAGATGCTTAACGACGGAGCCACCTAGGCGCCCCATCCTTGGAAAGTCTTATAAGTCTTGGATTTATGGGTTCACAGCTTTCCAAAAATTTGGATGGTTATGTCTAAGCATTCCCTCCCCCTTTATTCTTGAACTTCGCTTGTGTGTCAGGCTGTGTGATATCGTCCCCATGAGGCTCTGCTCACTAATTCCAGTCTGGTTTTCTCTGGACATCACTATGAATAGTTCCTATGGTTACTCTAGTTCAGTAGTCTTTTCTTCTGCAGTATCTAATCTGTTAATCCCCTGCAGTGACTTATACAAATAAGCTTTGGATTTTACAGTAACTTTAGGTTTACAGAAAAGTTGGGAAGATAGTACAGAGTTCTCATATACCCTGCACACTATCATTAACATTGTGTACTTGTTGCAATACACAGGTTTCCCCTGCTATCTGAAAGTAGAGTGTTCCCAGGAAATCTTTTGTTAGCTGAAATTCATAAAGCAAAGAATTACCGCTAATTAATATGGAAAAATCTAGAGTAGTCCCAGACCCCAAAAATAATCCTTCAGTTAGCTAAAGCAGGAACTAATGTAGGTCTTTTTTAAAGCAAGATGGCATAACATGAACTTTCAAAAAAAGGGGCATGCCTGTTCCTTATTATTAACTAAAGTTCCTATTTTATTCAGATTTCCTTAGTTTTTATCCTCCGTCCTTTTGTCCCAGGACACCATCCAAGGGATTATGTTACATTTAGTTGTTACGTCTCCTTACATGCCCCTTGGCCGGGGCAGTCTCTTAGACTTTCCTGGTTGCTCTTGACCTTGACAGTTTTGAGGAGTACTTGTCCGGTATTTTGTAGAATGTCACTCAATTTGGATTTGTCCTGTGTCTTTTCCTCATGACTACTTGAGGTTATATAAGTTTTTGGAGGAAGACCACAGAGGGTAAGTGCCCTTCTCATCGTGTCACGGCAAGGATGCACACTACGGGCCCTGTCTGTCAGCTGTCCCCATTGTACTTGTTCCGCCCCGTTGCTTCTTGGAAGAAAGTCACTACGTGTAGCCCACATGTGCCGGGGAGGAGATACGTGATGCCTCCCTGAAGGCGCGATCTACACGGACAATGTGAAATTCTTCTGCATGGCAAACTTGTTCCATTGACATTTTATTCTCTGTCTTCATGGGTTTGCTTTACTTCTTTGAGCACTCGGAATATTTTTATAATTGTTTTAATGTCTTTGTTGGCTAGTTCCCATCACCCCTGGGAACACTGCTATGACTCTCCCCTTCTTTGTCATAGGACACACTTCCCTGCCAATTGGCTCACCTGTTAAGTTTTGATAGGGCCCTGGACACGAGGGTTTTTATGTTGTGTCTGGGTTTTGTGATCTTCCTCCGGAGAGTGTTTTGTGTGGATCAGCCTGATCCTTTTACGGCTTCTCTTTAAACTCAATTACATTGTGTTTGGGGCAGACTTTCTTAATTCAGTCCCACTTCCAAGCTGTAGCTCTTTTTTTTTCTTTGCTGTAGCTCTTTTAGTCTCTGCTGAATGCTCTGCATGTTCAATGTGGTTCCTCCGAATTGGCTGGGAGAACTCAGGTAATTCACGGCCCTGTGTGAGCTCTCCTCAGTAGCTGTTCCTTTTCTAGAAGGTTCTCAGGTTGGCTTCATAGGTCTCATCCTATGGGCAGGTGGAACCAGTACTCTGCTGAAGACCCAAAGGGGCTCATGTGCAGACTCCTGGAGCTCCTTCCTGGTACACTCCCTTCCCTGGTACCATACCTTGCAAACTCTAGCTGCCTTAGCTTTTCCAAAGTCTGGGCTGTTAGTTTGAAAACCGCCTCCAGGCAGAAAGCCTGGGCACCTGTGTGGCTTACCTGTCCTTCCTGTTTTCCAATCCCGAACATTGTTCAAGGGTTAAGCCCACATTGAATATGTCCTACAAGCCCTACATTAAGGGCCATCAGGAGTTTCAAAGGTTTCCTGGTGAATCCATCACAGAACACCATGTTCCATCTCCCTGCCTCATGATTCAAGACCCCTCCTTCTCTGCTACCTCTGGGGAATTCCTGGAGGTGGTCTTAGCTTTTCCTTGGGTATAATCAAAGCCTGTGATTAGAAATATGGAAGCAGCAGGGAGAAGTGCGTGCCCAGCTGCCGGCTGGTGAGCAATGCCCTAATCCTGAGATGTACTTCTCTTTCCTTCTCTCCTTCCTTCCTTCCTTCCTTTTCTTTCTTTCTCTTTCTTTTTAAAGTGAACTCTACACCCAGCATGGGGCTCGAACTTACAGCCTCGAGGCCAAGAGTTGCATTCTCTACCCACTGAGCCAGCCAGGTGCCCTGAGATGCACTTCTTAGTAACTGCCAAGTCTCACTGTAAATTTGGAGCCTTTGGCCTTATTTTTGATGGCACTAGGAATAATCTAAAATGAATCCAAAATTCTGCAGGCATGTATGCTTTTATAGAGAGGGTCTCTGTCTTTGAGTATTTTCTCAAAGGCTCCATGACCCCAAAGGGTTAATAACCACTGTATTCCATGAGAGGGCCACCTGCACTATCTACCCAGAACACTTCAGTCCCCCAAATGTCAATCCGAAGACTAGTCTGGCATGATGTGCTCTGGTCTTCTGCCTGGCTGGCCAACCCTCTCTGGGGTCCAGGGACACGGGCATTTGGAGCGGTAGGTGTGTGGCCGGAGCAA